ATATACCAATGCACTATGCCGTACTGTCGAAATCGCCTGCACTATTTTTGAAATATGTGCACTGCCACCTAAATTGTGCCTTTTCATTACATTCATTAAAATCTCATTAATATTTATTAGCAGTAAAATTTCAATAATTTAGTAAAATTTCATTAGCAGCTTGTTTGAAGAGCACCACGCTACACTTGATGAACAGCAAGAGCGTTGTCAAAAATATTTTCTAGATGGGGCACCGAATTCGCTTGAAGGTTAACTAAATCGCTTTGCGGTACGCCGAATACCAATGCATACGACGAAGCAATGCACTCTGGCGAAACTGAAATCGCAACTACTGAAAATGAATGCATTCTCTTTTAAATTGTTTGCACTGTTTCGGAGCCGTGTGCACTATTACTGAATTTCATGCACTCGGCCCAAGAAGCGGTGCACTATGCCGAACTGTCGAAACGGTTGCACTATTTCTGAACTGTGTGCACTATTTCTATATTTGGCCGTAAAAAGGTGTAGTTAGTTCCGTCGATGCACATTGCACAACTTAGCGGATGCACATCATTCTAGGCCTATTCAGGTCGGGAAAATATCAGACATGACTAATTGCCCCAGAAAAGGATTGCAATCCGGATTGGATTGCAAAATTGGAAGCATGATGCAATCCAATCCGCAATCAAATCCTGTTTTTTGGAATGGATTTCAAATCCAGGTGCAATCCACCAAAAAGGAATGCAATCAGGATTTTGCAATCCTGCAATCACAATCCTACCGATGCCTGCCTATAAACGTGTCCCGTATCATCAGCACGATCCAGACTGTGCCAGTTTCGACCTTCACTTCCGGTAACGTGATGTTAGACATGCTGCTGAGGGTGCTAAGCCATGGCGCTGAATGTAGCACATGTCTTGGTACGGCTTGTTGAAGCGCTTGACTACGGCTCCTGCAGATAAGTCTGTTAAAGTGGCTACAACCCTACGCGGTGTTTCCAGGAAATATTTTATGAGCGATTCGCGACACATGCTACCTCCCTGACCTACATTTGCTGTCACGAGAAAGTGCATTTTTCAACAGTACATCAATCTTTCTTTCCTTGCCAGTGCACAAAATAAGGATTGGCCAACAGGGTAACAGTTGTAATCCATAGCAACCCAACAGAGAGGGCCGAGCCGGCCCAGAAATTGGCGGCGAGAGCTAATCACTATTGTCGTTTTTGCGTTTTGCTAGCTTTGTTTTTGTCCTTTTCACTTTTTGTACGCTAGATTACTGCCAATGCATCATCAAGCACATGAGATCAATTATACGACCAAGCGCATGGAAGACTTGATTCGGTGTAATGAAAGCCCCCAGCTCGTTCCCCGTTACCTTCGGTAACCGACCGCCTCTGCCGCAAAGGATCAGAGTCGGAGGCAGGGAGAGACGGCGATACGGCAGCTCCGGCCGTAATCTGGTTAGTGTAATCGGAGCAGCGCCGGCGGCGCACCGCCTCGGGCCTAATCGTCTCCCAATAACCGGTTACGGCGGCTCACTGCCGCACGGATGCACGATAACAGGATACCAGGTCAGGTGGTACACGGTAGCAGGGTACCACGCCACGCGGTACACGGTAACAGGTACCCGCGCAACGTGGTACACGGTAACAGGCGGCCGTGCCACGTGACACAAGGTACCGCGCCACGCAGTACACGGTAACAGGTACCCGCGCTACGCGGTACACGGTAACAGGTACCCGCGCTACGCGGTACACGGTAACAGGTACCCGCGCCACGTGGTACACGGTAACAGGGTACCTGCGCCACGTGGTACATGGAAACAGGTACCCGCGCAATGTGGTACACGGTAACAGAAACTCGCGCAACGTGGTTAACGATGGCCAGTAGAACGCCACGTGCCACAAGCTAACTGGTCGACTATGTTACGTAGTAAGCGGTAACCGGAGACCAAACCATATGACACATGAAACCAGCTACCGCAACTCGTTGTACGGGCACGCAAATAGCTTGTTAATGTATTTGTGGAAAATGTCTCGCCAACTCTGGCACCTAAGCATTAAATCGGGAAACAGGCCTGGCAGAGAGCATTTACAGCAAGATTTAGTATATACGTTGTCCAGTCCAAAAATAGTTCAATTTGCTTGAACTTGACCTTTGAACTTGAACTTGTAGACATGCCATCACTCAGCTCCCGCCGTCCCAAAATATGCATCACCTATCGCATGCTCCCTTCGCAACGCCATCTCCCAGAAAATCTAACAAGTCACCCGTGCTGGTGAATCTATCCACCTTCAGAAAATATGGCTGTGCTATGAATTCGGGCGACCAGACTTCCAGACATCCACGCTATAAGCAAACATGATTAACGCCCCGCAGCCCTGTTTCCAATCAGACTCAGGATACTAAGCGCACCGGATCAGCCATACGAGCGTAACGGGAACCCGCTAACGGCCGGCGGTGTCGCCGTCACCACCGCAGACGGACGGCAGAAGCCGCAGCCGACCGATAACCATCGGATCACCGCTAACAAACCGCGCATCGAGTGTGTATACCTGCTGCCCGCCCGCCGCAGACTTGGCCACCGACGCATGAACGCAGCTCGTTACTCGGTCCCGGTTCTGCTGAGCGGGCTCTCTCTCTCTCTCTCTCTCTCTCTCTCTCTCTCTCTCTCTCTCTCTCTCTCTCTCTCTCTCTCTCTCGCGGCTATTCTCGCCGCTCTCTCCTCCTTTTTCTTCTTTTCATCTGGCCTTTATCGCCCCGGCTGGCGGGCGGGCCGCGGCCTATCTCCGTTTGTTACCGGCGCCGCCGCCTCCCTCGAGAACCGGATGAGTGACGGCGTCACTTCATCAACACCCTGAGACGAGACGCTACCCGTGACGTTGCTTGTGATCCTGCCCGTGACGCTGTCTATGGTGTCTATGACGCTACCGTGACGATGTCCAAGACACAGTCTCTGACGGTGCGCATAACTATGCGGGTTGGGTCACGGTGGTTTACTAAAAGATCACCAGTCTTCCCCCAGATCAAACCGAGGATGAACGGGGACGGGAGAGACGCGAAAGAGCCGCCACTTAAAGGGACTATCCCACCTTCAAAAAAGTCCCGTTTAGGATTCGAAAATGTTACTCAGGGTATTGTGACGAATTCTGCAAGTTTTTACGCGTTTTCATACTCTACTTTTTGAGATAATGCGATTTTTATATTTCATCGTGACGTCATTTAGATCGAATCTGTGACGTAATGAAGGATTTACTTCATGCCAATGAGGGGGGAAATTTGGCAGCAAATATATTTGCTTTCAAAAATGACGCGGCTCATACAATAACAAGTGTCTCTGATTAGGCATTTTGTAGTTGGCAATATGATACCTTGATGACACCTAGTCAATGTAAGTCTGTTGGATAAAAACGATAGCCCGACTCGAATTATAAACAAAGTGCGAGATTTCCCCGGCGCCGATTTCAACTTATTTGTAAAACAGGTCGAACGCGTGAAACGGTTGATGACGTCATCAAATGGCCGTTAGTAGTTAAGAGATAGGGCCTTAACTAAGGCCCACTTTTCAAATGAAGGGAACGAATTTCTTTAACACCACGAAACTGAGGATATTGCGACCAAGATATATAGTGGTTTCTGAACCTGGCCGCCAACTTGGCTATCTCAACTCAGAGGGCTGTTCACGGGCCCTGTGTGCGGTCGGACCGCACACAGCCTCCAAGCTCCGCCCACTGCGTCCCTACGTCAGCCTTCCGTCACCGCACACAGCGACCGCTGTGGCCGGTCGGGACTGGCCACAGCGGACCGTCCACCGCACGCAGCCGTGACGTCAGAGCCGCCTACCCATCCCCTACCCCCACGCCTGCTGGACGCTCCGCACACACCGCACGCAGCAGTGTGCGGTGCCCGTGAACACCCCTCAGAACTAATGCAAAGGTGGGACAGTCCCTTTAAGTTGTGCGGTGATCAGTAAAGAGAGGATGGAGAAGGAATGTGTTGTCAGCTAGCGAGATAGGACGCATTAGTGTTCCCCAGGTGGTGCGTTCCCGGTTAACAAGTGGACAAAGTCGTCAAAGATGGACAATGCTTGCTGATGACTTGGAAGGTAAGAAAATGGAAAACCCGAGCCTTTATCGACATTGCGAAACAACGCATTATTGCGGGATTTTCTGGAACAGTTGCGAGGCGGAATTGCAAGCAAGATTACACCTGGCTTGTAATTAACGCTTGGCTACTCAAAGCGATTGTACGAGCTCAAGTTTTAACTAGCAAACGCTACTTGCGTCAGTTCTATTTGGCGCCCGTGTGTGCAGCATCAGTTTCGGCACTTCAAAGACCACATTTGCCACGCCTGCCCGATGTTGAGCCCACTCCGCAATACAATGTAAATCCGGCATAAATTACGCCCCGGATCAAACAGGTTTAACCCCGGCGCACGAAACGTCCGGCGCCTGACGTAAGGATATGTCGGCAAAATTGGGGTCACCCCAAAGCAATCCGGTTGGCATGAAATGTCACGCCGCCGGAGGGGCCGCTGTCGTCCGGCCGACACCGCGCCGGCTCGAGACGGTCATTTGCGCGGACAGTGGTGACGCGTGTGTGACGCGGCGGCCCGCCCGGCTGCACGCGGCACGTGGGACCACCGGGGCTTACATCAGAGCGAGAGAGTCCGTGCGGCGGACCCACACACCCGGACAGACGCTGCCGACCGCCCGGTCAAACTGTCATAGCGGAGCTGACACGGGGCCCACAGCGGCGGCCGAGTTTCCCACAGTCGGACAGGCCGCTTCAGCGGGTAGGCCGCTGTCAGACGGCCGGACGATGTCCAAAGGTCAGCCCCGGACCAACACGAGCCCCCGCCTGTCGCTGCTTGTTGGCCAGATTTATCCGCCGGTACAGAAACCATCGCCGTGTCGAAACCCTGCCACCGCTGTCTCGGCCGCCCACCCGCGAGTCTCGTCCTGTCGACCAGCAGGATCCCTGAAGACGGGGAACGCCTCCCCTCTTCGCCGCGAAACTTACCTGAAGGTGGCTGTTGCCCGCCGGGTCGTCCAAGATTATTGTCGCTGGCCGCTTGATGGCAATGATTTCATCAATCTGAGCGCAGAGCGCCTCCATCTTTTTGGTTTCCTCCTCCGGCCTACTGTCGCCCGTGAACATGGGGTTCTTCTGAAGGTCCTCCTGTAAAATCAGAAAACATAGCTGAGAGGAGGTAGACACAAAACGAGATTACCTTTCATGAGCCAGCCTATTTCAACCTTCCTCCCCACAGAGATGACGGGACAAACAGACTCAGTCTTTGTCCACCGGGGGCGGTCAAATTAGTTCAAATCTCCATATACGGCTGATAGAGGAAGCTTGCAGAGTCTTCCTGACAAATAAGGCACCGGCAGACATTGTCTGACATCCGGGCCTGGTGCCGTGACGACCGGGCAGGAATACACACGCTGTCTGATTACCACGGCGAGCGGCGAGGAAGGTAGCGTCAAATAGCGACCGGAGAATACCGAGAGGCGGCATAGACAGCGGGGTAACGATCAGTCGGACGAGCGAGCGCGTGGTTTGATAACGAGCTCGGTCTAACGAACTCGGTTAGACGAATTCGTGGCTCCAACGGGAGACGGTAGACGAGCCAGAATTGACGGCGGCGGCGGATCGCGGAAGGGCAGGTTAATGATACGGTTGCTTATTTTGCCGACAGTTGGTTAATGACCGACGTCGGCTCCAGTGGCGCCTCGAACCAACACATTTAGCACCCCCCCCCCCCCCGACCTCGTGCAGAGGGGAGGGGACGAGAGAGGAAGGCTGGGGGGAATGCGCGAGGGGACTGATACATACAGTTTACCTTAGTGATTACATGACACATGTTGTTTTAGAGATTGACTTATGATACAGGTTGCCTTAGGGCTTACAGACACGGCAGTTGTGTTCCGTGTGCTCGCCAAGGGAGACATGACACGTGTTACTAAGCACTAAACACCACCACAAATACAACACCACAAATCCGCCCAGACACAAGCTGAGCTGCTCAGTGTACTGCTCTCACTATCGAACAGTCACAGAATCCAGGTCCAGCCCGGAGATCCCATAACTCCAGCATGTATGTAGGTACTTAATGTCTACTCCGTCGTACACTACTTATCGTTTATCCTACTACTCGGCATATCCTTTACGCTATTCAGCAATATCAGTAAGGTTACATAACATGCCCTCCGTGGCACTCCCATCTGTCCGATCCCCTCCCATCTCGCTACCCTCCTCACTCCCGCTCCCTCCCTCCCTCTCTTTTGCTTACCTTAATGCTCTCAAGCAGTCCTTCCACGGTGGTGAAGCGGCCACTGAGGGTGAACGCTCCGGCTTCGATCTTCAGTTCGGGAATCTCCACCGCACACGTCTCAGACTGGGGGAACAGAACACGTCTTAGATTGGAGAGAGATAGAGCGGTCTTAGCCTGGAGACTCAGGATAGCGCAAAGATGTCAGACTGAGGGTACAGGATAAGCCTCCGACTGGAGACACGTAGAAGCGAACACAATGCACGATATAAAAGACATTAGACCGCGTCTTACACTGGTGGCACCGCACACAATTCTAAGGCGTCTCAAGGTACGTATATTGCCCAAAGTGCTGCGTTTGCCAAAGCAGTGCACCATGTTCGAACATAAACCATAACCTACAGTTGCTGAATCCTATAAAATGCCCATGCACTCAGGTCTGTAATTGGGAAATACTGTTCCAGATATTTAAAGTCGTTCAATAGAGTAGCGACAATATTTGACCGGAAAAGGGCTATAAAAAGGCTCCACCGGATGTAGATGCCCATTTTGGCACAGGATACAAACAAACCAACTGCAGTACTAATATCGACATTGAAATGGTCAGCACAGGGAGCGCTGGATGGCATGTCAATGCATTGGGAAGAGGTGAGCTGGCAATAAATAAGAGGTTTAGGTGAGCTGGTGAGAAGAGGTCTACTAGGTATATGGTGACTCAACAGCCGATGCAGAAAACAGTAGCACAGGAGCCGATAACAGTTTTATGCAATCTAATTGTCACACAATCCCCTTGTCAATGTGATAGAGGTCCGGAAAGACTGGAGTGGCGAAAACAAGCAGTCTGTTCTACGAACAAAGAAGCAAGCGGCCTACACCAGAAAAGGAACAACGTTAAACACACCATTCTGGCTACATCAGAAAAAGCAACCCATAAATAATCACAATAATTCAGCAAAAGAAAACCTTGCTAATCTTTAAAAAAAAAAATAATAATGTCATGTTGATATGTCCGTCCGTTTCTATGCAGTATATGAATACACATCTAATAGTGTAACGGCGCAAGCACACAGCTCCTAGCAAAACACCGTGTTTATCACCATTCGAAACCGTAGTAGAAGTCCACGTAAATCACCTAAATAGCATGTTTTCAGGAAGCCATTCAGCCAGGTTACCTTGGGGGTGGCCCAGAGGGCCATTTCCACCATTTCCATCGCGCCATTTGGGAGGAAACAAGACATAGTTCTGTATCTAGGCCATTTCTATTCGCCGCGCGTGCCGCCGGCCGGCGGGGGCGGCCGTAAATTTGACGGCGGCAATAACCGATACGGCCCCCGTGAGATGATGGCCGGACCGCCGACGGCCCGTATTCATATCCGGCGGACGGAGATGCATCTCTCTAAATGTCTAACACACGGTACAAGGTAATGGTAGACAGCGATATGGGTGCAATGGTGACAAGAAGTTGGTTTGAGAAGGAAAACCTCTCAGTAACTTCACCTACCTTCACTTCGACCAACCTCATCAACTGTGACCTCCTCATTGATGACTTCCATCCTCTGCCGTGACCTTACCGTAACCTCCCAGTGACCTCCATCCCCTACCGTAACCTCCCCGTAACCCCGCCCTTAGCGGGACCCCACTGGTAACCTCTCAGTGACCTCCACCTTACCGTGACCTCCCGGTGACCTCACCACTGACCTTGAGCAGGTCGCGCGACATGTCGATGGGCTCTGTGATTCGCAGGGTGATCCTCCGTCCTCGCGGCTCGATCCCGCAGCCGGCCTTCACCTCGTTGGTGCGAGCACCGCACGCCTCGCAATTGGTGGCCATGATCACCACCTGCTTGAAGTGCGGAATATCTGCAAGGTAGAGAGAAAAGCACGAGTCAGGTCAGAGCAGGTCAGGGCAGGGCAGGTCATCCAAGTGGCGGGTTCATTTCAGCGATATCCCTTGTAAGATGGTGATTCGGTTGCATGAGTTTCCGCCAAACTTTGATGCCTTTGATCGACCATTCACTGAGCTTGTGTTCCAGTGTCCAGTCCTGTTCCTAATCCTGCCCGCTCAATCCATCTTATTGCTACCTTAGTAAAGTACGCCGAATGTCATGTGCACTGTGCGGCATCGTGGGCGGCGATAGGCAAATTTTCGTACACCACCTGTATTACTACCTGTATTACCAGGCTGATGCTCCACTATAGATCCAATAGGGTTCCGCGTAACTGAACTTCAATAGCCAGCTAAAGTACATACATTACTATTCCATTACATATATGCTTTGTTCACCTTAGCGAAATTAAAACTCCTTCCGTGTACTGAACTGAATTGGAAATGAGCGGCTCTCAATGAAAATTTATTCATCGTCCAATTGTTAATTTTTCGGTGGCAAGGGTCGTGAATTGAACGTAGGTAATACAGTTTGCTTCGATGCCACTGCCAAGTGAATCAACTAAAACTTGTTGAACATTTGAGTTTTCAGGCAAGTCTCAGCAGCCCTTGTCAAAATTAGGTCCCTTCACCACAACAGCTATGTACTCCCTCGGGAAGGTATCGGCAGTTCCTGGCAACGGAGACTATACTATAGTGAGAAATAAATCTGTAATTTGGGAATAATCTTTAATGCTATGTAGCATGTGCAAAGGTTTACTGATTATCGCAACAAAAACTACAACGCTCGCACATATTGCAGGAGCATGCTTATAACGAAAATTCATTGTGAAACGAGTGAAGATCAGTGAATATATATATATTTTTTTAATTCAGGCCTCCCTCCAACGGGCACTAAATAATAATAATAATAATAAATAATAATAATATGTTCTAAAGAGCATATTCTATAGAACATCTAATATCTATAGAACATATGGTTCATTCTATAATGTCCTTTTTACAGCATAGACTGTCTGAAGTTGCGGGAGGCAGCCCGTCACTCGGCAAAAATACTCAAATCTCTGAGCGTTTTACAGGAATGAAGTTATGAGCGCAGACCGATCACCGAACTGGCAAAAACAGTCGCAGACTACCAGCGCGGATAGGGTACGCTCGTAAAATCCGCCGCCAATTCGGCTCTGGCTCCCCGACGGAGCAGCAATAAGCAGCGACCAAAACATCAGGAATGTCGCGTCATCCGAGGTAAACACGTCAGCGGGCCGCCGGGGACAGCCCCGGTGCCGTCGCGCCCAGCGTAATAACCGGCCTCCGCTAGTTGGCCGCGCCGCCGCCAGGGGCAGACCGGCGCCATCGCCGCCAGCCACACAACTTTGCTCTCGGCTCTATCTTGTTCTCGACCGAGGCCGGGCTGACGAATTTACGGGATGTGGGGAGGCCGATGGCCGGCCGCCGCTTCTCTCCAAGTTGCCCGGTGGCGGTTATTGGCTCTGTGAGGAGCGCCGCACGCAGTAACAGTGCGGCCGGGCGGCTCTGCCAGGCGATTTATGGCCAGTAAAGAAGGATTCGAATGGGGAAACGCCACCGGAGCAGACGGTTACCCTCATCAGCAGGGGCATCAGCTCAATTCGGGCAGCATCAATGCGAACCAAACGGACGTGGGATTGACTCGTCTGCGCGTATACGAATTACGTTAAGCTCGCTAAGCTGGAGCGAAGAGCGGGCGGACGTGAGACTACCTGTCGAGGTCTTTTCGCATCTAAAAACCACACACCAAAGCGTCAAGTTAAAAAGTTAATATCGTATCAAAGTACTTCATAAAGTCAGCCTACAATTATATTTTGGTCGGTAACAACAAAATGCAGTCAGAATCTGACAAGCCCGCTGGGTGCTGACAAGTGGCTCGGCGTTTTGTGTTCCCAGATAGCCACAGTGGCGCCACCTACTTTAAACGGGTCCATGATCAACCACTTCGTCGGTTCGGGGCCGGTCCGAGCGTCATGAACGGGACAGCTGAGCAACTGAGCACATAGCGGGGCACACAGAGGAGAGGAGAGGAGAGGAGAGGAGAGGAGAGGAGAGGAGAGGAGAGGAGAGGAGAGGAGAGGAGAGGAGAGGAGAGGAGAGGAGAGGAGAGGAGAGGAGAGGAGGGCAGAGGAGAGGAGAGGAGGGCAGAGGAGAGGAGAGGAGAGGAGTGGAGAGGAGAGGAGAGGAATGGAAAGGAGAGGAGAGGAGAGGAGAGGAGAGGAGAGGAGAGGAGAGGAGAGGAGAGGAGAGGAGAGGAGAGGAGAGGAGAGGAGAGGAGAGGAGAGAACAGTACAACCACTAGAAGGGTATGGCCAAGTCGAGCCCAGATGGCCATTTGTGGGTTGGGATCGGACACATCGACATACTCGTCTGTGCTATTTTCAATCGGCGCAGAGGCCGAATGAAATGATTTCACAGCTGAAACAGGTCATTTCATTGAACCGTTGACGTAGAAATGCTAATTACGCGAGCATTTGGCCAAGAATTCGGAATTCGAGGGCGAAAATCGGAGGAGCAGCTCAGGTAGGATCTGCATGTTTTTTTTTTATAAAAGACCAAATCAGTAGAATACCGATACGCACGCATGTAAGGAATTGCACGAATAAAGGGCATCGTCGCCTCATGTGATTCTATTCGGGCGGAGAGGAGGGAACTTATGGAAGGAAAGGTAAACTGAATCGAGACGAGAGAGGTCCATCGCGCTTGATAATGCAGCCAGAAGACGCCAAAAATTCCCTAACACAGTGCACACACCAGCTACCAAACTAACAAGGTCATCGGTATCATATGGCACGCACACGACCACTGGGACATCATTTCGGCGCCGTCTACCAAGAAGTCACCGTATGCCTCCGTCACAACTACTCTAATATTCTCCGACACACTGCTGGCACGCCGCCGATTTCCGAAAACAGCGCCGGACCGCGGAGCGAGCGGTAAGGGTCGCCCCCGCACGCGTCCAGCTTACAGGGGCTCAGGGGTATTCAGGAGCTCAGCATAAACAGGGCACAGGGAACAATATTGGCCGGGGGTGCGGACAACTGCACGGCTCCCGACCGCTTACGACGCCCATTTGACACACGCAGCCGAATGAACGTTCCCGAAGCGACCGGAGTTTGTAAACTGAACGGTAAAAGGGCGCGCACAATAACTTGGAAGGCATGATAGTAGCTCTTAGTGAATTAGCGACGTCCAGCACAGTAATCTAAATTAAAACACCCTACCGGTGTGAGTGCTTCTGGCACTGCTGAAAAACGCATCCCAGCATTCGACTTGACAGACTAAGACGGTTAGAAAAGCACTAAATCAGTATGTCACAACTAACAAATATGAAATACACGCTAAACTGATACACTGGCCACTGCACAAGATCCATTTGAACTAAAAAAGACTGACAGGTCATCTGATCATCGATCAGAAGTCAGAATCAATGACGTAAGCACGGAACAGACGCATCTGTGTGCTGTGTATAGACATAGGTGATTCCCGAGACAAAATATCCTGTCACAGTAGCACAAATACGGAAAACAGGGCTCGGGAAGATAACGATGGGACGTGCACCGTATGACATGCTTTTAGTGTCCGGAGAATGTGTATAGGCGGAAGAAATGACACTTGACAGCATATTGGTACAGAAGACTAGAGAAAATATTTTATACTTCAGACAGCATTGCTGCAAATGTTCTGAACTAGGTTTAAATGGGAATCGACATAGAGTATGATTAATCACGACAGGCATTTGAAGACATCACCTGTCTGCATCGTAAATCATTGTGCCAAAAACTAGCACCAATCACAACAGGTATTTGAAAAGACATCACCTGTCTGCATCGTAAATCATTGTGCCAAAAACTAGCACCACTGTTAAAACAGCAAGCATCAACATCTTGTTTACGTTATCATTGAAAACATTTATGTTGCCTTTATTGGGCTTTTCATCAACCTCTCGCTCTTACTTTTATAGACTTATTCACATTATGCGGGCCGCAAAAGCGCAGAGCGCTGTTAGAATGCCAGGGCGGGACTAGTGCCCAGCTAAGACGTGGTGAGCGGCTAGAAAAGATGGACCGCATCCGCCATCTCCCAGACTAGCACAGTTTAGGACGGCAAAAAAACGGTTGCCACCTCAAGAGCACCGGCTAGGGCGGGAGAAAGGGTGAGAGAGGAATGTCTTGCGCGGCAGCGACGTTGGAAGGGAAGAGAGAGAGAGAGAGAGAGAGAGAGAGAGAGAGAGAGAGAGAGAGAGAGAGAGAGAGAGAGAGAGAGAGAGAGAGAGAGAGAGAGAGAGAGAGAGAGAGAGAGAGAGAGAGAGAGAGAGAGAGAGAGAGAGAGAGAGAGAGAGACCAGGATCCTTGCTGAGCTCTCGACTCACTTGCCTGAATTTTTAAATATCTTAACACACCTTACAAATCTACAGACTCCGGATGTCAAATCCCTAACACTGACAAGGAAAACGCATCAAACAAAAAACTGTAATCAATGCCACAAAATTCCAATATTTTGATTCATTACAGTGCTTAATTATACTGAAGCCGAATTCCCGCTTACTCGCAATCTCGCCCCCCCCCCTAATCTCGCTTTACCCAAAGGGCAGCGGTGTCGTTCTACATATAGACCGGTCAAACGGAAACACCGTCTCCATTCACTTTACAGTATGATCCGATGTTAGCAGGCAAGAGCCTAACAAGCCTTTTCCTCCTCTTTAGAATATAATTTCTTGCGATCGCGCCTGGTTTAACGGTCACGCCGCGAGCTGACCCGTGAGGGAGCTCAGTCAGTTGACTGCGCGAACTGTCACACCTAATGCTAAGTATCTGTCCCATCATCACACAGAGCGACGGATCCAATCACATACAAAAAGTCCGTCCGTTCCTTACAGACCTATCACAACGGAGCGCGCTAGTTATGGGAAGTCCACGTGTGGGGATGGACGGCGCGTATGACGGGCAGCACAGCCAACTGAATAGAAAGTCAGATACAGGTCATCTCCCATACACCGGGAAACTGAAGTTGAACGTATATTGACTGGAACCTGCTCACTCGAACATTGGTCTGTGCAAGAAAATCCTAGGTTTAATGGACAGAACGCAATGGCATTGAGACGGTACAAATGACAATGAATGTGTGGCTCCGTTTGACTGACTGTGACTCCATTCGATCCATCTGACTGACCAGCGACCCCTCCGACTGATATGTGACCCCGACTGTGACCCACCTGACTGCCCGGTAGACTGTGAGATAAATGACCTATTACCACCCCTCCCCCTCCCACCGCCAGGCCGATCTGTTACCCCGTCTAACTGACCTGTGACCCCAGCTGTGACCAGTCTGACATATGACCCGACTGTGACCAATCTGACTGACCTGTGACCCAATGTGACCCGTCTAACCTATGACTCCGACTGTGACCCCATTTGACTGACCTGTAACGCCCTGTGACCGGTCAAACCGACCTGTAACTTCGACTGTGACCCCGACTGCGACCCGTCTGACTGACCTGTGACCTTCATGTTGGTCTGGCAGGGCGCCGTGCACGACGGACAGTTAGTGGGGAACGTGAGTACCTCTCCCTTCAGCATGTCGGGGGTGACATTGTCCGGATCCACCCGGTCCGGGTCCGGATCCTGACGGGAAGAGAGGGGAGGTGGTCAGATCAGCTGCACCGGGGGTGTTACACAACACACATGGACCGAGAGGTCTGCTGTCGGTACACAGGGCTGAGGGCTGTCGGGACTGCGCATCAACGGTCAACACCTGTGACAACATGACAATGAAGAAGTGTGTAGCTTTAGGATCAGCATATTTAAATACGACAATAAGTGGCACGTTATAATATAAGGCCATTCAGTGCTCAAAGAAAGCGCCACTTATATTGTTTGGGCTGAATAATGAACGAGTCCGACAACACTTCAGAAGCACAAGTAAGCTAGCGTCACTCGCTCTGACACGTTCGCGCCAACACTTGATATTGCACAAAGATGAAGCAAAAACAAAACCCATCAGCGCCAACAGTGTTATAATGCACAAAGTACTAAACACCTTCTAGAACGAACCGCATGCGCACGTGAATGTAACATTTGAATGAGCACAATACTGTCGATAAATCGCGGTCACTATACTATCACAGAGCAATGAGCTGAAGGGTTTGCCGCGGTCCCGGACGCCAATGATGGGTCGTTAGTAATGCACAGCGGTACAGGGGGTAAGGTCTATGATCATCCCGTGACCTCCACGTCCTCTTCCACCACTTCCACCCCTCCACCGGACCGCCGGGAGCCGACCGGCTGGCTCTGAGAGCCGTGACCGATGGGCACCGCCGCCGGGCCGCCGGGACGGGCCGACGGCCAGACGACCGTGATGTATGCTCACTATCGGTCGGCTTAGGGCGGCTGGACCGACCCAGCGCAACCGTACTGAAAGACCCAGGGCGGCTAGACCGAACCGGCACACTCCCATATACTATTTCAAGTAAGCAGCAGCCCAGCACACACCCACTTCCCCACTTAAGGTGATCCGGGACAGCCCAAGGCGGCCTGACACGCCCCGCCGACCGACCGGTGTAGGGCATCAGACAGTCGAAACTCGTCCCCCACCTGCCGTCTAGCCTATTCCCCGTGTCAGCGCACCTATCAGCCTTTAATGTGCTCACCGGGAGTTTTACGGACCAATACCAGCCACTGTGTGTATTTTGGGAGCCTATCGGAGCTCGGAGCGGTATTTCAACCGAGGCATGCAATATCAGAAATGTCTGTGGTGGTATGTTGCATCCGACGGGAATGCTCTGCAATGGTGCATATTAGTGGGAAGTTATACAAGACTCATGGTTCGCTTCGGTCTGTCGGGAAATGCACTGGGCTTGGAAGACCGAACAGCATAATTAAAAACAGAAGATGGGGTCGTAAATTTCTCAGGAAAATGATGAAGTCGACGCAAAACGCATCCTGGCGCGCCATATATCTAGAGTTTCTGGTCACAAAAACATCGTAAAACAGAACGTTGACCGGGTGTAAAATTACTCCCGCCGCAGACACGCAACCGGCATACGGAGGCAGGACAAAGATTCATAGTTCACACCGCACACGTCTGAGTATGACATTCCGAACTGCTTGTGTCAGATTGAAAACAGTGCGACATGTATACGTCAATGCCACGTTTAAAACATCCGTAATTCACCTTGGCCTGCATACCATTTCTTTGTCGAGCTCCCATCAAAGCTGGTCATTCACGAAGATATCATTTTATACGAACTTTCTTTGACCCTATCCTACCCCGTCCTCAATTCTGCAGGGCAGCACAATCAGAGTCGGACACTGCCTCTGAAGCCCAGCTCAGCGCTGACGCCCCCACCACTACGTGACGCCCCGCGGCCGGCAGCTCTAATCCCCTACAAACACCGCCGGGCGGCGCCGAAAACAGGCGTATCCCACGCGTCAACGCAATCATTAGGCGTTAGCGGGATCCGGCGGTATTAGCGCCCGGCGATAGCACAGCCGTGTCATCGACCGACGGCACGGCCGGGCCTCTGTCCGTCCCTACCTCTACCCTACCTTCCTGTAATTTGTTGTTCTGATCATATCCTTTCATGCCGCTCTGGTTTTGTCTATCGCTGGCAGCTGAGATGTGTAAGTAACGGGTAAGACCAGACTGAGTCCACCTTACACAGCCCTGGACCAGATGTGTCAACCACACGACACTACCCTGTATAACAGCGGCGACCCCCCGGGGTGGACCGGGCTGCTGAGAGGACAGCACGAAACTGAAAATAGCCCTCCCACAAAGACGTACTCATACACAAACATACGCGTGTGTGCACAGTGGGGACAGCAGAATAGAGTGGGCGAGAGTACAGAGAGCCAAGGGGAGAGAGGGTGGGGGAGAGAACAGAAAGACGCATACGACCACAGACTATTGTGGGCGAAACCAAACACAAAGAAAGGTGACCGAAACAAAAATAACCTCCCCCTACAAGGTGACATCCTTTCACGATTGTATCCTTCAGTTCCGTTGTCCACTGGGCCGATTTATTTGCCTGCCCACCTGGCCTAAATCAACGGAATCTCCGAGTTCACCAGCGAAATGGAAACAGACGACGGCGACATTGTAGACAAATCAAATAACGGAGCGGGGCGACAGCGTAGCGAGCTACCGGGATACAGAGCGGCGACGGGCGAAAAACAGCCGGACCGCCCGGCCGGCGGGGCTGCCGCTAGCACACCGGGCGACGCGTTCTCACCGGAACCGTCTCACCGTGGGAGCTCTCACATCAGGTATCTCTTAACCCGCTGTGTTCAGTGTGTTCTCACCGAATCCCCATGTCTCATGGCGTTCTCACCTCTGGCCTCCTCTACCGCACTGTTTTTTTACATCAGTCATTTTCTCACCGGCCCGTCTCTCACCTATCCATGAGGTTTTAACCGGCCGCTCTCACCAGGCGTCGCGTTCTCACCCAGTCTGTCTCCACTCTCACCTGTTTCTGTGATCCGTCGGTAAAGTCGTAGTTATCGTAGCTCGGTGTGATGCCCACCGCCTTGTCCTGCTCCCGGCTGCGACTGTAGTGAGTGGTGTGCAACTGGGGGTCGGCGGCCGGTGCCAGACGGTTCTCGATGTAACTGTTCCCAGACGGGTCATCCAGCACCTGTGACGGAGAGGGGTCGAGAGGTCAGGTCAGGTCAGTTCAGGTCAGATCAGCGGTCAGATGGTCAGGTGAAATAATTGACAAAAGAAACGCAAACGCAAATCGCGAGTTCAGCAAAAATATGCTAAAAATGTTGATGATATGCTGGCCAAATTGGGGCTCAAAGGCACCAGAAGCACATCATAGCTTGAGCCCCAGCACCGGTGAGTGGTTACTCCGCCTGGCTGGTACAGCGCTGGGACGGCAGTACGGCGTACTATGAGTTATGACTACAGTCTACAACAGGCGTGGCGCTCGGGTCCGGCGGAGTTGCCGACTGCGGACTGCCGCTCTCTATTCAGAACGCAAACAGTCCGACCGTTACGCCGCCCTTCCAGACCATAAAACCTTCCGACAGCATTTCACAGACTGAATACCGTCAGTGAAAAGTGCGGGCAAAACCACATCAGAAGAGCAGCGGCAGCTACTAAAAATATCCGCCTGATTACACATTAACCCGCGCCCTGCTGGGGGTCCTGGATTTCCACGCCCTGCTGGGGGGGGGGGGGGGGTTGAACACCCCCCCCCCTTGTAACTCGGCTCCTGGGCCACGTAGCGATACGCGGAAGGCGGCGTTCGAAAGAACGTAAAAAATAATGACGAAATCACTTCGGTCAATTTTTTGGTCAGGTCAAAGGTCAGGTCACCAGAGGTCATTGAAGGCAAAATTTCGCCGATTTCCAGGTCGAATGTCGAAAATTTCCAAGAAGCCAACGCATAACTCGGGAACCAATAGAGCTACAGCGCCGCGGAAAAGTGAATTCGATAGCCCTTTTAATGCCCTTTCTGAGTAATCCTCTCAGATTTGACCTAACGTCAACGGTTTTGCCTGCAGGGGGCAAAAACTGCAAAAATAGCCGATTTTTTCGGAAACAGTTTTTCTGCAATAACTTTTGACCCAAGCCTTGTACGAGCTTACTTTCACCGGCATCGTGTTCCTCTCGTCAAGACGCATCGAATGAATTATAACTTGACCTTGAAAGGTGAACTTGAAAATTTGACCTCAGGTCAAGGTCATGACCTGACCGGAAAGGGTCATGTTGCATATCAGTCGATCCGTATCGTCGAGCTGAACACATATAAGGCATTTTCATCGCTCTAGCATGCCTCTATCAAAAGTTATTTGCGAAAAACTTTTAGATACCATTCGTGACCTAAGATGACCTCAGGGCATAAACAAGGGTCACGGACACCATTTTCATGTTCAGTGTGTCTAAACCACTTGTAATTCGGTGTTTGGGAGTGTTTATAATGTCTTTCGTCCAAAAGAGACGCATTTCAATTTTCTCCCATTGACTTACTCGTATAATGGGAGGTCGTAAAATTGACCTGACCTTAGGTCATCGATATCAAAATTCTGAGATATACATTTTGTACATGCTATTGCTCTTAGCAATCGCTAAAAGTTTCAAAGCGATCGGTCACTCGGTGTAGCTATGACAGACATTGAAACATTTTATGGGGTGAGGTCACTTCAAATGACCCAGGCCCATGTCGTCCCCTATCTCCGCGTGTGTCCACTAACACGAATGACGTCACGCATGTGGGCGGAGCTATGGGCGGAGCCTAACGCACGCGGCAGTCCAAGCCGCCATATTTGAATTTATATTTTAATAGAATCTTGCCGATATTTTGGGTGAAGTCAATTTATATGGATAGCTTGGTGACAGTTTAGCTATACGAATAATAATTTATTATGGATGTGCGTATATTCAGCTTAGAATTGCAATTAAAGTTCCGCACCGCATAGATTCGAACTCGGGACCTTTGGAATACTGCGCGGGCACGCTAACCACTACACTACCGCGACCGCGCGGCGGCCGGCGGCAGGGAGGCTGCGGAGACATGGGGGGACTTTTTACGCTTTTGTGAAAAAAGCAAAAGATTTAGCGAAAAACACGTAATAGATAACTTGCAGAAAATTGTCTGCTCTTTCAGATAAGATGATTAGGTTTGATATATCTTGTGCAGACTTCATTCTACAGTGCTTCGAAAGTCGCTCATTTACATAGGGATTGAACGGGGCTTCGAGACTTGACTCCAAATGACGTCACGAGCTGACGTCACGAAAAGGTAGAATCGCCGGACGACCCTACCTGGTATATAGGGCCTTGAAATGACCTGGTGACCTGACCTTGAATGACATTGGTCTGAAATTTTCACAACAAGTGTAGAATTGATGTATGATAAGGTGTACCAAAAACGACGGCGTTTGAGATATTCGCGAAAAACCACAAGGGGGGGGGGGGTGTTCAAACACCCCCCCCCCCCAGCAGGGCGCGGGTTAACGTACCGTTCTCCTATTTCAGGATGGTTGGTTATTACTGCCCTTATATGATAGAAAAACAGAAAAGACGCTGCTCGTGGAAATGTTATGACAACGGTGGCCAGTGGCCACGATCTTCATCCAGTTATGCTCTTCACAAATTTAGTTTAGTCACTGGCGGATCCAGGGGGGGGCCACCGGGGCCATGGCCCCCCCCAAAAGCCTGAAAGGGGGGGCCAACATATCTTTTGGCCCCCCCCAAAACGCTTGAAGAAAAATTAATGTGAGATGGTTCAGTCCCACGCACAAGGGGGAAAAGCTCAAAAAATTGAGCGCTCAAAAAATTGAGTGGGCCCCATTATGAAGCAATAGGCGAAACGATGGTATTTTAAAATGCCTTTAGCGTCACACTACGGCAAATATCGTATCCAAATAAGGTATCAATGGCAAGAGAGAGCAACAAGGTTTCTTCTCGAACACTCGCCGTGATAATTTATATCGGTGTTTTTGGAAAGAAAATGCCCTAAAGACGCTCAACTTTTTGAGCGCCACTTGTCGTTCGGGACCGCGATACTCAATAAATTGAGCGCCACGACAGACGACAGTCAGCTGGCGCTCAAAAAATTGAGTGCCGGCCAGCATCTACACTCAATTTTTTGAGCGTTCTCCGTGACAGGTGAAGCCGGTACTGGCTGCCATTTTTGATGTTATGTTCGTTGAAATACGTTAAACTGAGTTGAAACAGAAATGCAGGAAGTTGAATGCTACGTGGTACCTAAACTTTTCACAAACCCATGGCATCATGTCACATTTTCCGCTAGTAGTGTTATCGGTCGGCTTTCGGATTCGGCACACCTCAAATAATTATACAGGGCTTGAATAATCCGTATGAATACTGTATTGATATTCTCTGACTGTACTGGGAGAAGGGAATACGTGAATACAGAAAGATATCCACCCACGCTTGAATATTGGAGAATTATAGCAGGAAAAACTGTATTGCCACGGTTACAACTTACAAGGCCATCGGCCGCAAACAAACAAAAATACTATACAATGTGGGTTAGATTCACAAACATCATCAAGTGTGGAACACAGAGACGAGCAAAACAACATCACATTATCGCATGCCAGCCCGACCACATTGGAACCGGGTGACCTGCGACCGGAACCTGCGTCTTGCCAGCATACATCACAAAAGCAGGAGGCAGTGTCGTACTGCTTTGATCCAAAATATGCCATATAACAAATGATATAAACGACCTAAGCTCGGACTAAGCTAATCATTATCAAATCCTTAACATGTAAGGGACGAATGGAAACATCGAGTCTCAGACCAGCAGTAGCAACCATCACAGTAGCAACATCACAAAGAACACGCGGCATTATCAGACAGCCGTTTTGTTATTGGGCTACAGGCGGCGACGGCGTGGTTGCAGACCAGCTGCGAGGTAACGGCGTGCGGGCAAAAGGCGCGGGCACACCTCCATGTGGCCGTACGGACAGTACGCGGTCGGCGTCGCATAGTGGGCGGCATCGGGCTGTCCCGGGGCCGTCGAAGCCGCACAGGTTGTCGGCGCATGTGGGCGCGCGCGGTCACCACGGCCAGCTGCTCACCGCCAGCACAGACTGCGCAGCGTCGCCGCTCCGCCGGCCAGAACACGCAGACAACCCTTCTTGCAGTCGCACAACACGTCGCCAAACTCATTCACCTGCTCCACCATGTTGTTGATGTCACCGAGTCGTTCAAGTTGTGGCTCGTGCCGTCGAGCATGACCTGCCCGATCGGACACGGGTCAGCGGCTTCTTCTGCTCCAGCGAAGTCTTCATCTTGGTGACGTCTTGCTGATCTCCACAAAGGCTGAGCAGATGACCTTACCCACAGGGACGGCCGACGTCCTCGCCAGCGACCGCTTGGCTGTGCAGACCTGCCAGAAAAAGAAAAGCTGTTTGGTGATCTCAAACGATTTTTTCTTTATGCAGTGGAACAAAATGGAAAATATGTCATACAACAGGAACTAAAAAAAGATGCAGCCTAGGTCGTCTAAGAAATGGGTGCAACATTGATAAAATTCTTCATTGAATGAATTCTGCAAATGCTTTTAAGTTTTGATAAAATGTGTGGTGATTATAACTTATAAGGAGGCCACTTTACTATAAAATTGCTCAGGATTCCTTATCTGGACCTGTCAAAAAATCCTGACTGCACACCAACAATGAGCATTAAATCCGAAACCTCTGCCAGGTACCTAGGGATAATTAAATTCTGATTCAGGAAAATATTTCACATCATACAAATAAAAACCTTTACTATATTGAAACTGAAAATGTGATGCCGATCCAGTGACCTAAGGGTCTCAAAGTATAATAATGAATTAATCTATTATAAATTTGGTGGTGACTGTCGACTGGCGTCTGGCGGCCTAGACCTTGAGGCTTGAAAGTGGCCTTCCTTTTCCGTTGACTCCGATCCTCCAGATGGAAATGATAATATAAAGGATCATTTTTATCTTATTTCATATGAGCCAGTCAGCAAAGTGGCTATCCTGTTTCAGCATTCACACACATAATAGTTGACTGTAAGTCTCTCATGCTGTCAGTGTTGTGAAGTAACGAAGGAGTTGAGTTTTGTTGATTATAAATTGTGATGTTATGTAAAGGACTGGAATATGAATGTGAAAACTATGGAAACATATTGGCAGAGTATTGTCACTTACTATCAGGACATATGGATAGAGAATACATTCAAATTAATAAGAAATGCCAAATATCAAGGTACTCAATCACTGATAGGAGTGGACTATCATATGTTTTAATGTCAATTATATGAAAGTTAAGACTGAAACTACCTTTTACCTCATCATACCTAATGAAAAATTGTGTGAAGAAAACATTCACAGGCTCTTTGAAGCACTTAGACCACTAAAAAACAAAAATTTTCACGTAAATATGTTGTGTCTCCTTCCTTCAAAACATCATATCGGATGGCGCCACTTTCGTCGACAGTTACTTATCTGCACGCAAATCGAGGAAAACGTGAATTGATTGACGTTTACGTGTTTCCAAATTTAAAATCACAGCATATTCAAACTTTTCAGTGTACCTTTTAACATCTAAATATAACTAAAACGATAAAAACTTACCTTCAACACGAGGACGACGACAACCACGCGACCGGAGACGTCGCGACGAAATAAACAAACGGCGCCGCCAAATGAAAAATATTCTCCGATATGCGTAATGTGAAATTGAGTCGCAATCATTTTGGGTAGTATGAAAAATGCTCTTTCCAACAGAACCCTAGTAAAAAACGTGAATGAACAAAAAATAACTTTTATTTCGACATAAATATTGGCCTGTTTTTAAGTCATTCTGGTATGCCGTAAGATTTCGACCAATAAATTGGTGTTCCCCCAATCATTGAAGCTTGAGCAGTGAAAAATATGAAAGCCTAATCTGTTTTGCATCATTAGTGATTCGCCTAGGGTGTTGCCATTTCTCCCTAGGTGTTGCGAGTTGCTTTTGCAAAACGTGTTCCTGAAACGGCTCAATTTTTTGAGCCCTCAACATTACGCCTATGGGAGCCTCTGACGTCACACGCTCAATATTTTGAGCGCTCAATAATTTGAGCTTTTCCCCCTTGTGCGTGGGACTGGGTTGCGTAGTAGATACCTACTAGAATCAGCAGCGTGATTCAATAGCGTAGAGAAAGTCAGGGGTGCGGGAACTACTTTCAGACTGGGGGGGGGGGGGGGGGGGGGCACACCATAATAGAGATCAACCTAGGGTCCCCCCAAATCTAGTTTCTCACCGGTTTTAGGCCACTTATTTTTCATCTCTTGGCTTTTTCAACAAAAAAGAAAACATTTGCAAAAAGGGCGGTATTCCGTCTGAAAGTTGTGGTGGCACCGCCCCCCACTGGTGGATTCAGGGAGGGGCCACCGGGGCCATGGCCCCCCAAAAGCCTGGAAGGGGGGCCAACATATCTTTTGGCCCCCCTCCCAAAACGCTTGAAGAAAAATTAATGTGAGAAGGTTGCGTAGTAGATACCTAAAAGTTAGAATCACCGGCGTGATTCAATAGCGTAGAGAAACTCAGGGGTGCGGGAACTACTTTCAGACTGGGGGGGGGGGCACGCCATAACAGAGGTCAACCTAGGGTCCCCCCCCCCCCCCGAATCTAGTTTTCTCACCGGTTTCGGGCCACTTATTTTTCATCCCTTGGCTTTTTTCAACAAAAAAAGAAAACATTTGCAAAAAATGGGGTATTCCGTCTGAAAGTTGTGGGGGCACCGCCCCCACGGCCCCATAGTTGGGGGGGTGGGCAAGCTGTCCCCACTGCCCCGGTTCCCGTGCCTATGGAGAAACTACCTGGTTTACTAGCTTCCTTCATAAAGTGTCGTCATGTCTTGTCGTCACCCGAGAATGTCTTATTGCATATATATCGATTGAACTGTCAAGTTAACAAACTTGCTCTGGCAGCCTGACCTGACATGACCCGGCAATTTTTCATTCACGGAATATGCGCAATAATTTTTTTAGGAACACTCACTGAGTTGGCGTTGAAAAGCTTGTTTTGTTTGGTAATTGTACAAGAAGCATATCATGGACCTTTTTGTCCCTTCCCGTGAAACGGTAAAAGACTTATTTCGGTCAGAGCTCAGGCCAATCTCTAAGGGGTCAGTCGGGTCACTTATTTCTTAAAAGGGTCCTTACGGCATCCAAGGACCAATTCCGGCTTTTGAGTGCACCACATCAGCATTTGATGCTGCGACATATGGTGAAATATGAATATATGTTACAGGCCGTATGAAAATTGTCCGTTTGCAAACGGCCTGGCCCAGTCAGGGCATATGAAACAGCCTGAAAACACCGGCCGTTTGCAAACCATGACCTGAAATATCAGACCGTTTGAAAACGGCCTAGTTAGTTTCGGCCTAGCGGATCCAGGGGGGCCACTGGGTCATGCCCCCAAGCCTGAAAGGGGGCAACATGTATTTTGGCCCCCAAGGCCCAAAAACACTTAAGAAATATGAATGTGAGAAAGTAGCGTAGTAGGTAGAAACTACCGTATCATTAAAAATATGTGAGCTTGAGTGTTGGTCTCGTCTTCACCCAAGAAGTTCTTATTGCATACTTTACCTCTCGATCGACGCGTGAAGTTATCGTGTAAGTTATCATGAATCCGATCGCGACGAAACTTTAGCACCCTCATGTTGACAAAGTCTGAAAATTTCATGACCCTGACCCAAGTGACCTTTGACCTGTGGCCTATTTCTCGAGACTATCCGTGCGTTCGGAGAGCATGGAATATTCACCGTCCCCTGGAATATTCCCCGTGCCGCGTTCGGAGGCGTATCTCTCTGAACGGCCAATCTCCGGGAATGTTCCGCGCGCATGGAGTATTCCACGGATTCCACGTGGAATGTGCCTCTCCGAACGCACCATATGTTTGGCCATGTTTGAGGCCATGTTTGGCCGGAATCGCGATTCCGCGTATGTCGGCTCACATTATCCGCTCGTTTACAGTCTTTTCGTGGTTTAAAACGCTCAAACATGTGAAATGATGTTGGTCCCAACCATTGTGGTAGGTGTCAATGTCACCTTAGGGTCAAGTCAGGTCATTGACCTTTGATGACCTCGGTGCACTTTTCCGAGTTTAACATGTTTCTAGGATAGTTTCGTTTAGCTGATTTTGAATTTAGCATTTAGCAACCATTTGAACATTTACGAAGTAGTTTTGATGCCTTCGTATCATGTTACGTAGCTGCCAGTGGTAGTCGGACACCTGCTACACGGACGCCCATAAGTACTGGTTGACCTGGTTGACCTGACCTGGCCTGCCCCGACATGGCCTAAAGGCATGAAGACATCATCTATGATCCAAACTAACATGAAATTCGTGATCAGCACAAAAAAATCTATTACAGCCTTACTTTAGGAGGTTCTGACAGGCCCTGATTTTCCCGTCCTTTGGGTCTGTGACCTGACCTGGGCGGTGTTTCACGGCACGCTGCCAGCGCTGTTGGCACTTTTGGTTTCCATGGAGACATCAACTAGCCTATACCTACAACACTACCGAAGGTTGACCTTAGCTCGCGGAATGCGCTGGCAGCGGCTGGCAGCGCGACCGTGAAACACCGCCCTGGAAGGTCAACCAATGACCAAGGACCTTAAAATCGGGTATCATCGGCTTCCTCTCGTCACTCACAGGCAACACACTCGTTTTTTCCGCGAGCTCTAGCTTGATCAGGGGCCGAACGGCAGAGAGGTTCAACCGACACCTCCCAGCCCGCGAAGGCTGCGCCAAGCACCGACCCGGAGCGGTGGTCGACAAAAGCAATTTGAAGTGTTTTCAAAGTAATATTAAGGCACGGGTTGAGTGGGCTACCATTTCTCTCTCCATTTTTTTTAGTTTAAAAAAAATTATCGTTTCAGGGCTGTGACGAAAAATAAGTGGCCTAAATCCGATGAGAAAACAGGATTTGGGGGTACCCTAGGTTTGGCTCCTTGCACGAGTTGGCCCCCCCCAAAACGCAAGTCTGGATCCGCCAGTGAGTTTAGTTTACAGGCAAAACCTCCATGGCTAATGTCAGCACCTGCTGTCATCCCAGGACTAACATGTACCTAAATACAACTCAACTGAGCTCTACAACTCTCACTAACACATCCTCTCGTCACCCCGACCCCATCCCCATCGTCTATTTACCATCGTGGCCGGTGCGCGGAGTTCAATGACGTCCTTCAGTCGCCCGATGAACTGGTCAATCTTGTCAGCGGCGTCCGCGTCCAGGGCGCGCCGCACGGGCTGATCGGACGCCAGGTCGTCCGCCGTTCGACTTAGTATGCCCTCCACGGTGGTCACCTCTGAGGAGTGACGGGGAGGGACGGTCTCGTGATAAAGGCATGCTAGACTGACTGGAGCGCCACCTAGGTTCAATGGAGGGATGTGATTCAATGTGGAAACGTCCGCCAGGGGGACGATTCCACTAGCATCAATTTCATAACCAGTATTTCCACCTGAAAACACTGGAATAAAAACGTAAACATCGCAAATCATTATTGTAGCTGTCAACATCAAATTCAAATGAAGTGACTTTGTAAAAACGACCTACTGATGACTTTCTGACCTGCTTTTTTGGCAGTATTTGGTATTTCCAGCTCCAGTTCTGGTACTGAGATGATGGCATATTCAGACTTGACCACGGTCCTGTTCATGTCCTCAGCAGACTTCAGCTCCAGCTGGCCATCAGACAGACAAGAAAATTAAATTGTGTGCCAGAAAAACAGAAGCACCAGACCTCTAGTGGGTGAAGAAGCAAACAATAATTGAATAAAGCTAAGTTACAAGCCTTCAGTAAATGGATGGGACACAAATAGACTAATAGAAATTTCAGGCAAAGAACTAAATAAGCATGTACAAATTGGCAAACACCACCTCCTCACTTTGTTCCATGCTGATAACTTACCTTGATGGTTATTCCTTTATCCTGGATTTCCTGCCCAGACTGTATTTCATTGTTTTTGTAGCCACATTCTGGGCACTCAAAGGACATGAGAATGACTTCCTTGTAGAACGGTATCTTGGTGAGCAGAAGTCGAGTTGTGCCCTAGAAATCGGTCATAGGTATGTGAATAACTGACTTGGGCATAGGAAAACTGCATAAAAATGACAACATACACCCTATTCATATATATAATAAGAAACAAGCATGTTTAATCAGATTGCCTAAGCCGAACAAAAGACATATGTACGTTTCTGAAAAAAAAGATGAAAATGATCAAACATCAAGCTTAAGACCAATCAATGGCCATATATTGTAGACATACAATGCTCAGCTACATGCATATTGATGCTCACATTTTTCTGGCAGTTCATACACAGGCTCTCGATCTCACTAGTGCCTGCTTCCGTCTGGTCTGCTGACAGCTCTTCGAAAACAGTGCCCATTTTGGCAGAAGTTGCTGGTCAATGCCCTGTGGATATGGCAAGAAATCATAACATCAGCAAAAGTAGCCGATGTGGCACCTTGTCAAAAATCAGGCATCACACTGCTCCAGCCACCTTGTTACAAGAAAATATGACACCTGAATGACAATTTATGTGGGCACCAATTCTGAATTCAATTTCAAATTGAAATTGAAATGTCAGCAAAGTTAAAAGAGAAGAATGAGAGCTAAGATGAAAGTGCAGGTATACTGTGAATTACTCCACAAACAAATAAACTAACTTGTCTGGCGATTGTCAAATTACCACATTACACACTCTTACACGTTGAAACCTATTCAACGCGCGCAGGCGCTTCTCGTGTCACACACGCTATTCCGTAAGGCTGATTCACCGATCAGAATACATACAATATGCGACCTTACGTACGCTTCGAGAAGATTCATAACAGCAAATGTCGCAGTCGCGTCACAGTCATCGCAATTCTTTGCTACCAAACGAAGGTTTTTCATTACACTTCCTAACATCGAAGGCACCGTTGAGCTGCAACTCCATTCCTCAGGTAAGTCAAGTGCGGACCGACTGAAATGAGAAGTTTTTACAACTCTGAAACCCCATCCCCTACACCTGACTTTGAGAGCAACTTCTGTCGAGTCGAGGACCTAGCTTTGGGACCGGCTCCGGCAGCTCAAAGTTGGCTCAAAGCTGCACCTTATCTAACTTGATTTTGGATTGTGCAGTGGCGGCGGATTCGATTTTGGCGTGGGGGGGCAAGATCCCAGTCGAGATGATGTCATAGGCGGATTCAGAAAGGCGTTTTCGACGCTGTAGGGGACATACCCCCCCCCCCCAAAAAGTGTCCAAAATCCAAAAACTCCTCGGATTTCGATTCCTTACGATTAGATGGTTTTTTCGATTCCATACTGCTGAACAGCAAATAGCAAAAAAAAAACTGATAAAAGTGTTTTTATTAGGAAACATAAGGTACGTTTTGTCTATTTCGGGCGATGCAGAGGCCAGGGGGAGGGGGAGTAAATATTTGCTTTAAATGCCCGCTCCCTGGATCCGCCAGTGGAGGATGTAACGCTTTTCGTATTGCTGTATTAGAAAAAAGCTCCAATGGGAGAAATTGTGCCATAACCCGATCGCATATCAGATGTTGAAGAACGGTGCCAAACCTTTTGAAGTAGGCGAGCGCTATTCTTTGCAATGAGGTAACTCGTTACCATTTCCTCTGTTCATTTTACGTTCGATTTCCGTTTAACCTTCCTTTAAAAAGTATTTCTGAGACAGATATCAAATCAACTGAAACTAGCTCACAGCGGGAGGAGACCGCTCAAACATTCAGAGACAGTCGGTCGCATCTAAACCTATTGGGACAGCGATCCGCCAGAAACCCTCCCCCAAGGCAGTAGTTCGCCAAATAAGCTCACCGAGACGGGCTGTCTCGATGGGTTTATATTATACATACAGTAAGCCTACAGCAAGGCTTAACTAAGGCCCAAACGCTCGTCAAGCTGGGAACGGAGGGCTGAGGTGAGGGAGCGTGGCGGCGGGCTGGGGTGAAGGAACGGTGGACTGGAACGAGAATCCACAAGCTCTGGGTGGGGCGCTTCTTTATCAGGGCCTTAGGGTGCGCTGACTGCGGTAAGGTCCAAATTATCACACCAAATTTTGCCACGACATCTACCGGTTCAGGCACTCGAATTTCGAAAATCAGCGGCCAGTGATATCTGCAAAGACGAAGCATTTCCAACCCAGCTTCAGCCTGGTGTCAGGGCGCCTCAGGTGGCTTTAATTACAGTTGCACATACCAAACGACCTCAGTGCAGCCAGTCTGTGGCCGAAACCATTCGGAACAGATTTCAACCAAAAGTGAGACATGGTTAGTGCTATCGTTAAGTGCCATTATAGACTTGGGTCCCGTTGGCTTGACCCACTGGAAGGTGGTAGTTATCGGACGCTGCGGGGCATACTCATTTTTCCAAAATGCCTTAGATTTTACTTTCGTGTTCATAGGCGGCGGAACGGGGAGGGCACCGGGGGCCCGGGGCACCGTGCACCCCTTTGATGTTGGCATTTTAACGTTAGCCCTATGGGCGTTGCAAGGAAAGAATGGAACCAAAAGTCGGCAGTGCCCCCCCCCCTTAATTGAAGGTGTTCCGCCGCTACTGTTCGTGTTTGATGCTCTTTATTCTATAGCCAGCCTTTAGACAGAGGGGGCCCACTAATGATCAGTGCCCTAACCCCAGGGGGGTTCGAGTCCCGTGCCTTCAGCATTACGAAAAATGGCAACAGCCCGTGAGCAGCATCAGCGCTCACGCACATGTTCAAGGAAAACAACGTGTAATTAGCTGCTGACGACGGCCCTCTCCACCAATCAGCGCTCGGTATCTCGAGCGCTGATTGGCTGGTAGCAAACGCGTCATATGTGGGTCTCATTTTTTGCTATCAGTGAACGCGTTATTTAATACACAGTGGCCTATGGAGAATGGCACGCGGAATGGAAGGTCAGTGTTTTATTGCTTCGTACATGCGAATGGGGGTATTTGAGTGGCATTTGACACCATTTTCGAAATCTACAGTGAATTTCTGATCGACTCATGTATATATTTTTATGACTTTGACAGTATTAGTGCTACTTAGTTGGAGTTTTATGTTGGTGTTGTTTCTCTCGACCTTTGTCTTGTACTTTAATGATATCTTTTCTCGAAAGTGCTTGCCATAACCAGGTCTAAACTGTATCTGTATAAAGGGAATATGTGTTGGATATGAGGGGAAAGCAGTAATGACCATTCTGCCTATCAAACTGCCAGAAGGTGTGCTTGTAAGGTGATTGAAACTGCAGTACGGGTTGCAGATGTGGGTTTGACATTAGCATTGTTGTTGTAACCCCACTTGCTCTAATAAAATGGCAACATGGGGTTATGTACACACTATTGCACAGCCTGGTATCAAGCTGGTTGATATGTGGAGGATAATGAAAGCATAAAAGAATAGGAGCGTTGCGTCTTGTGACTTATGTCAAGTCATTTTAAATCGAATGATTGTGATTGTAACTTTTACTTCAATTATTATTGCAAGTTTTGACCTTTTTAATCATCAATTTTTATGTGTACCAATTTCATATGCCTGTGTTATGTCTGTGCGGTTTTGTGCAGTGTGCGTGTCTTGAAACAAACCAATTTATTTTGTACCTTTTTGTACTTCAATAAATGTATGTCAAAGCCAGGACAAAAATGTCATGTCTATTATCATTGACACTACTACAGCTAACTTTGCCTGTATTCCTATCTTTCAGAGGCATTCAATTCAATCTGCTTTCCAGTGCAGTACCAAGGAGGCTGCAACTGAAACTCGCACAAAGGCAATCAAGTGTCACTTCATCAGCCTACAGTAACAGCCCATCTGTAATCAAGATATGGATGAAGGGGCATAGAAGAACAACCAGTTCAAACATGAAAAGATTGTATTTTGTTTTGGACTATTTCTTAGCTTAACAGAACAGTACACTTGCTGCTTTTTATGTTTGCCCTGTGTGCAGTTTTGAATAATTTTGACCATGAGATGCTTTTTACAATTATTCTCTTTACATAAGCTTCCTTTGTCATGCATGTGTAATTTTGAGTTTACATGCATGATGTAGGCACATTTCCCTTGGCTTCATAGAAGTTAAAACTACTTGCAAGCTTTGGTTATGGACATTGGTGCTATATGTGATGCTTCGAATGTGTCCAGTAGTTGATGAAGGGAGAAGAGGAGTAGGACAGCTGATAGCTATTACCAAAAGTATGTGCTTGTCTGCACTTCGGGCTGTTTTACTTCCTTGAGTTAAAAAACCCTCATCTTTTGTTTCTTTCCTGTGTGCCCATTGTTTCCATGGTGCTATACATAAACGTCAAGTTTGAAGTTGGTATCCAAGTGAGCAAAATGTGTATTATTTCAGTCCGTCTTGAATCATTCGTCTTGAATTATATCCCTAACTGACATCCTGTTATTTGTCCTGCAATGTCTGTGCCTGTGTCCGCCCTTACCTCCGGCTCCAGCCTCCAACCAGCCCTGCTGAGCTCTGTCGCCGGCGCGGTGTGTCGCAACGTGCTGTTTCTCCACTCCAGCCGACAGCTGCTAGGAATCGTCCTGTGCCATGCGCCATGCGACACAGCAATTGTAAGCTGCAGGTCACATTCGGACTGATTGGCTCCGCGTATGTGCATCCGGCCGGGAGCTAGTCGATATCAGGGACGTGGGTCGGACTGTTGTGGCGGCGTGCACTGTGCTGGTTGAAGTTGTATTTCTGTTAGTGAAAAGCATTAATACATAACCGTGGCCGCAGCCCAATGTTATTGTGGATTTCAGAGGGAGTGGCCAGTCAGGAGGGCCCCATGTGGGTATGGATCCAGTGTCCAGTGGGATTGGCTAAGATTTCCGGCGATTGATAAACGCTTCTATGATAGTAAACCTATTGAGTTATGAGGGGAGGTCACGTGACGGACCTGACCTTACTAAACTCTTGTGAAAACACGACACATATGAACGGTAAGAAACCGACAACTCTTCTTTCTGCCAAGTGTCATCTTTCTGTGAAGGATTTCTTGGCACTGAGTGTTCAGAAATTGCGTTGTTTTTGGACTGTGCAGAGGCTCACGAGCGACAACATAGGTCAACAACCTGACCTACCTTAAATATGCGACTTGTACCATAAGATCCAGCTTGATCAAAAGATAGGACATGCCAAATTTCATCTCTTTATCTCAAAAGAATTTTGAGCTATCGTAAAAACCGCCAGTGTGGCACCATATCGCCTCCGCGCGCGGTCGGAAGGTAAAAGTTCGCCGGCTCTAACTAAACAAATAGTCGTCGTATCGCAAATTCATTGACGGCGTTCGAAGCGTCGTTCAATTTACTTTCGAAACATATCCTAACATTACCATTTAACTGCCTAGCGCAATCACCAACAAGCAAAAGTTCCGCGCATCCCTCCTCATACAGTGTTAGCGGCGGCCGGCCGCCGGCCGCTGACCCACATTCGCGTCATCAGGGAATGCCGCAACTAATTTATTGTTTCCAACTTTTTTCCCGGAGCGTTCTACCTGGTTTATATAGCCTTGCCTAACCCTCAAAAGTCTCCATCATTAATTTTTACTTTTTTGATAGTGAAAACTGAAATAAGGCGGATACTGAACTGTGAACATCCAGTTTTAACACTGGCCCCACACAAGCCTCCGAATGCCCAAAGCAGATCTCTGATGACTGGCCTTTGGGTGTCATACCATACCGTGCATTGGTCAATGTGGTCAATGTGTACGACCTCGGCGTTTACCATTTTATGCGCTGGAAACTGTTGCGCTTGAAAAATCAGGGGAGTGGCTTATTATGAGCGCTCATCAGTCCTAACTACCCGCAAGCGAATGGCTAGCCCTTCCGTCTCCGCTCGCTTGCGATTTGGCATTTATGTAGGTACAAAATAGCGGCAAATGACCACTGAAGGTATGAGTTGCGTCTCTTGCACACCTAAAGTATCTCTAAATCGAATCTAAAAAGACAAAAAAATGATATAAAGCGGAAATGGTTAGCATTTACACATATTCAAAAGGCACCGTTGGACAAACTGTAGGAGCGCATAGCTGCAATATCAGATTATGGAAATTTTCCTCATGTTTAGGGCACAAACTATGGAGGGGCAAGAATAGGTATACGTTTGCCCCTCCTCCAAAAGTTTATTAGGGGACGATGCCTCCTCTGCCACCCCGTATCTGTCGCCCCTGTAAGCGGTCACTGAAGGCCTGGGCTGCCGCTGCGTCACGTTGACGCTTATAATGCCTCCAAAACTAGGTTGAAGAGAGGAAAATTTCAATTGAACGCGAACGCCTGCCATTTAAGAAAGGCAACGTATGAAAGTATATGGGCATCTGGTTACATCTTCAGATGATCGAACAGAATAATCAGGTATATGGTTTCTTGTCTAAGCTTTGTCACAAATTATGGGGGGGCAAAAAGATACTTTTGCCCCCCCCACGATTTTGCCAGGGGGGGGCAGCTGCCCCCCTGCCCCCCCGAATCCGCCGCCCCTGGGATTGTGCCATACGCCCAGGCTGAAAAAAAAGTGTTACGGGCCTGCATACACTGCCAATAATTTTCCCCTCGTGCAGGTCGCCCGGAATGCCGGGTTGCAGAGTCACTGAAAGCCCGTCGACGATGCCATTTCCGTCACCGCTCCGCCCCCAGCACCGCAGGCTCACAACGGCCACTCAAAGCCCGAGAAAAAAAACCTGACCACTACGCTCGATTAATTCTCATAACCCCTAATCAACATTTCCGGGTCCAGAAAGGTGGTGCTGTACGCTGAGAGGGAATAGTCTGCCAGTAACATCAGCAATCAGCAGCATGGCGTGCTAACTACTTACGTCGGTAAAGTGTTTCTCTTTGTCAACGTTAGCACACGCTTTCCCCACACCATCTGTCCGTTGACCAGCTGTGCCGTGCTATTCAAATACCGACAAGCGGCAACCAAGCCTTTCAATATTCAACTCAAGCCGTATTCTGTGGCCAACACGAGCCGTTCATGTGTCCTTAAGACTGCTTCTTTGCATGTCAATCGGAAAACGGTTTATTTTCCTATAAATCGGAAAACAACATATATGAAAAGTTACAAGCATAAAAACATGCCATTAGTACACACCAAAGAACACAGCCCCTCCCCCCTCCCCAAATCGCACGACTGCACTTAACAACATTATCTACTCATTTTACCACTCGACCGACGACCATGCACTATTTCTTATTGTCCCACGGTTTATCACCGCCCACCGGCAACAAGCGACACTGTAACTGTCTCCCGTTCCAGCCCTCCGTGAGGTACTCCACTTCGTCCCCTCCCAAGCATCGTCTGCCTGGCTGAAGTCACTCAGCGGTCCGCCAGCACCGGAGAACGGCCCAACTGCTCCATAAGAGCCGCTGTGGCGTTAATCCAGCTCGTCGGGTCGAACCGGGTGCTTCAGCGGTATCATGGACTGCTTGCCGGGGTCCCGAGATAGGGCCTTCCGCATGTCTGCCGAAAATAACCACGGTCAGCCGGGAGGGACTTAGTTAACAAACACTTAACAACAGCTGATGAATTTAGAAAAATGCTGTCAGCCTCAGCAAGTCAAATAAACATCAGCAAGTTGTCCACTTCAGAAACCCACGTCCGTTTCCAGTACCGAATGGATAACGAATATGATGCCGCGTGATCTCACCAAACGCATCCTCGTCGCCCGAGTAGTACTCGAGCACCCTCCGGTAGACGACGTAGCCGAGCTTCTCGTACATGTCGATCGCCACCTTGTTGCTCACACGGACAAACAGGTCGACAAAGTAGGCCCTCTTCCTGGTGGTGAACGGGAAACAGGGCGTGAGACCATGCCGCGAAATGCGAATCATGAGTAATTAAGTACAGGGTAGAAATATTATCTATGAAACTTAAATAAGTTTTTAGAATATAATCCGAACACTTGAATGGATATCGGATCGGTTAAGTAACGCACATAGGTCCGGGTTCCCTGCTATGGAAAGGCTATCTTTACAGCACAAAAGTGCACGGACTCATCAATGGGCCATTTCACCGTCATTTGGTTCCGGGTGTGAATTTAGACCTCCCTAGCCTCACCTCTCCGAAACGGCATGAATTCAGACCTCCCTATCCTCACCTCTCCGAGACGTCCTCCAGGTAGTCCATGAGTTTGCGCGCCAGGCCGAGTCTCCGGAAGGTGGGCGCCACTGTGACGGCCGTCACGTGCCCGTGCCAATGCTCGCCGTGACCCTCCGTCTTGCCCATGACTGGAGCAGTAGGAAAGCCATTATATGAGCACAGGAAGCGATTTCAATGGAAAGGCTGAAGTAAGTGATTGAGAAGATAGCACTCTACATACTTAATGAATATCAAATAATAAACAAATCATTAGCTACAAACTGACTGAATACCAAAGGTCATTGGGAGCATGAACCCTTGTCAATCAACATAGCTACAGCATCAAATAAAAACTGGACAAGACTGAACTCTGACAAAGACTGAACAATAACAGACAAGACACCCAGAACACTTACTGTATCCCATGATCTGTCCACTGGCAGATTCGGCAACTTGCATGTACTCAGGCCAATGGGCCATGTACTGCATATAAAATGAGATGCCATACTGTTCAATATGGTTAAAGAATAAACCAAATGCATTTATCAACCTTAACAGAGGAAAGCTTACTGGTTAATCAACAATGCTAAACAGTAGGTTCTAAGATAATCACAATTAATTTAAAAGTGCACATTTTGGTAGAAATATCAGCAGGTACTGCCTTTTTAAATGTTTATGTTAGCTCCCAAATTTAATTACACTTAAAATAAGGTTGCAAGCCTACAGATAATCAGAAAATTTAGCCATTCACAGTGTGTAACTTAAAATGCATACTGATACATGCAGATGTTGATAACTAGCTTGATGGGTTGCACTTTTATGAGCCATTGCTTAAAACTATGCAGCAAAAGGATACAGTTTCAGTCAGTGGATCCAGATTCCTGAAAAAGACAAACAATCATGAATCATCAATATCAATGACAAATAAACTGCTCAACGAATATCAACACTCCCAGTTTCAACAAGCATAGCATACTACATCCATAGAAGGAAGCACAAACAAATCAATAAGGCATTTCAATAACTTGAAGCCTCAACGCTGGGTGAAGATGCTGCCACCAACCACACTAATGACTATTGAATATAAAGAGCCACCAAACGTGCAAACATGGTAGGTAACAACTTATGATTGGCAGCACCAAGGCTATAGAACTCTGGAGCACAGGAGCATTTGACAACAGTGACCAGGGCTGCTGAGTCTATGGATTTTTGGGTGACTCCGACTCCAGCTCCGGCTTCAAAAATAGACTCCAACTTAGACTCTGAATCCGGAAGGTTCTATTAAAATCCATATCATGATATTGAAGTTCATAATGGAGATGTTTTTATCTTGCCTGAAACGATCCCTTGTGCCTTCTAAGGCTTTGCATTATAATACCTATACATTAAAAATAACAAGCAGGATAAAAAATAGATTCTAGAGGATTCACTGTCTTCTAGTTCTGCTTCTGCCCCTGAAAATGTTCGTCCAAAACAGCAAAATGGCCTTTCCTCAACAGTCCAATTTTGAGCGCAGTGTCATCAATCAAACTCGTGCAGTGCATGACATTGAGCCATGCAGCATTTACGCTGACTAGTGACTGCGGAATCAGAGTCAGTAATAATTTGGTGACTCCAACTCTGGACAGAACTGTCGACTCTGACAGGCTCGTACTCCGTCTCCGCAGCCCTGCCTGTGACTTCATGTGCATGTCTTCCGACAAAATCCTGACATGCCAAGTGCAATGCAAACCCAATGCAATTTTTTTGTTTAACAATTCAAGAAAAGGTGAAGGTGAGCAACTCCCAAATCAAAATCACAACACACCACAGTCAGATATCAACATCCATATCTGATATCAGTGACAAAATAATGCAAAAATACTTACACCAGGTTGAACTTAAACAGATCGTCACATGTCATTCGACGAATGGTGGTCATTTTCTGAAAATAAATGGGATTAAATCTTGAATATTGATATTGATATCTCCACTCACCACAGTACACACCAAAACAAATAATGCAGCACACGGTTATGTTCAGTCGCCGCCTGCCGCAGTTGCGCAGAAGTTGTCCCAAAATGACCAAGGAGCTACCCCGCGTTCGATGTCTCTCGGCCGACGAAGATTCTACGTCGTCCGGCCAATCCCGTCCAAGGTCAGCGGGGGCTCAGCTGCATTTATGGAACGTGATTGGCCGGACGGCGTAGAATCTTCGCCGTCCGAGAGACATCGAACGCGGGGCTAATCAGAGTTCATATTTGTCAATTCTTTGTGGGATTAAAAAACATGCCCACTTGATATACATTATACACCCAGTAGGTACACCACTGAACTTTATAATGCAGTACACGCACGAAAACGCAAAACCGTGGCAAAACCAAGCGCAAAACACACGAGTAATCCGCGCATTTCCCTGGCTCCCCTGTACGACCGCGCATAGCAAACTCGCCCAATTTATTTTCCAGGAAATAAGACGCCTCCGGGAAAGTGACAGCGCGCACACGGCTGGAGATTTTTTAATAGCCCCAATGCAAACGAAGGCAGTGCTCGAAGGAAGGGCGCTGTAATGTCTTCCTCGCGTCTAATTTTCCCCGCTCTACCCATTTGTACTGCGTCCGCACATAAGCAAGCACGATCGTCACGCATAAGCGCCAGGCTAGCCTTCATCCCAACAGCCTCCCCAAAGAGTGGTAAAAACCAAAACAACCTTCTGTCATACATACACGATTTATTTCACCCCTAGCCGAGGATCCATCTGTTACGCACACAATAAAATAAAGATAAATATGCCGGTACACGTGTAGAGCTCGATCGTGTTTTCCGGGCAGCTCGCATGACGCACAACATCGGATCGAGGCGTAGACTAGACGCGATAAAACAACGACTAAAACGTGCGTCGTCCCACTGGACCGACAGCGACCGGCGTCCTAACAGGACAATTCGACACCGGGCGGAGCCGCACAGCGACGGAAACTGTGACCGGAGCGGCACTGGAGGACTCCGGAGCCGCCCAGCAGCCCTGCGGGGACTGGAGTGGCCGCCCAGAAATCCCCGTAAGTAGTTTGTGCTCCCGTGAGAACGCCCGGCGGCCAGCGCTGCGAGGGTCGCGCGCCGCGCCGGCTCAGCCGGCCCGGGAGCCGCAGGTACGGAGCGGGCCGGCCGCGGCGGACCGGCGCACAGAGGGCGCCACACTCGGCCCGAATCGGTACAGGTCCACACGGACCACCGGTCCCGGTCCACGCGGACCACCGGTCCCTCAATAACAGGTCCTCAGAGGCAGCGCGCAGGCAGACACTCGTCACCAAAACGACACACCCTATGCAATTGATATCATGATAGGCTCAACGGCTTAGCTTAAATAAAGGTAAGTGTAGAGCTCTGTGTGCAAACCAGTTCCGTGCTGCGGCAGAAAATCAGCCGCAGCAGGACACTCTCACGTGCCGTGCCGTGCAGTGCTCCTCTCTTACCACTCAGTCACACGACGCCGACCATCACAGGTGCGCCGGTCCGTCAACACTCTGAGAAATAAACAACCTTTGTAACCGGTAACAATCACTAGCCCGGTACCCGGCCGGCGCGCGCGCCGCGCGGCGCAGCGGGTCGTCTATAAGTAGGATATATCACAGACTGGTCTCTCCGTCTCTGCGGCCGGTGTGGGCCCGCCTTTAGCTGGCCACTGGACAGGTCTGGTCCGCTGAGGGCACGCAGATGCCCGCGCCGGGGACGGGACTCGGGTCGGCAGCGGCCGGCCAGTCCCGCGCCCGATGTGACTCCAGCGTTGCCTGCGGAGCGATTGGAGAAACGTCAGATAAGCTAGGACAAGCGGCCCCTGACCCCATCCGGCGCGTTCAAAGGGGTGTCAAATACATCAGCAACGAAACGTTGCCATGGGAATCCAAAAGCCATTTTTCATGGGTAATTTACGACAGATTTTATCGACACGTGGAAACCTCCCTATCAAATCAAAAGTTAAAATATCCATCGATAGTGCCGAAAACAAACAGGTAGATAAGTATCGTTCTGAAATGTTTTCGCACCACCAACCACCTCAATCAAAGCACAACGCAAGTGTCAATCCACCCTCTCCTGACGATTCCCTCTAACCCCTGCTCTCTTTCCCCTTCCCCTCCGCCCCCATACCTGCAGTGTGGCCAGGGCGGACTCGCTCTGTTTGAGCAGCGCCGTCACAGAGTGGACGATCTCCTGCCACTTGTGCAGCTCGGCTCGGTGCAGTCTGTCCTGCTGCTGCACCACTCGCAGACAGTCGTCCACGCTGTGCGGCCGACTCCGGCTGGCGGAGAAGGGGGAGAGGAGAGTTAGAAGGGTTTGGATAATCAGAAGTCATGTCATATGACAGAAGAAAACACAGGGATACTTGGCTGAGTGAACTATCCATTACCACAAACTGTCACACGCAAATGATTGACACCAGCGCCCATAAGAAATCCACAATACACGTTCATCTCTCTTCCAACAGTTCGCTGCCTGTGCCTTGTTCGGTCCCCACTCCCAGCCGCGTCAGCAGTAGCCCGAGTCTCACCTGAGCTGCTCGGCGAGTATGTCCCGGTGCGCGAACGCCTCCGTCTGCTCCCCGAGCCGCGACATCCTCAGGTAGAGGTAGCCGTTCATCAGCACGAGCAGCAGCATGAAGGCCATGACGGCCAGCAGGAGGCGGTCCGAGGTGGCCGGACGGGACTCGCCGCCGCTCAGTGGCGACACTGCAGAGCGGAGACAGACAGACGCAGGTTAGATGGCGTGGGGGTCAGCAGAGGCAAGGGAGCACTGCCCAGCGGCCCACCGAAGCACACAAGGGTGGGCCAGAAGGAAAGCTCATTCTGAGCCATTCCAAAATATATAGCACTTTACAGTTCAACTTGAGCCCGCCTACCCAGTAACCGTTCATCAATTCATCCCTTACGTAGTCTTATGGCTCACGGTCACATTATGACTTCGCCGCACTTCGAACAATCAGTACTCCTTAACTCCATTCCCAGACCCCCAGACCCCATGAGATTCCTCACACACTTCCAGATCCCTTACAGCAAATCCATATCCTACCTCCCCTCGCTTTCCTCTCCATCCATTTCCCCATTGTCCACCGACCTTTGGCTCCGCGCGGGCTGAGTGTCACGGACGCCTCACTAAGCAGGTCGGCCCCCGCGCCAGCCTTGCTGCCCGCCCGCCGCCGCTTGGCGCGCCGGTGCTTGCTAATTTCTCCGGTCGTGTCGAGCAGCATCTGGTTCAACAGGCTGTGGTGCTCGTCCATGCCGTCGTTGGAAGTCTTCTCGATGAAACCTGAGGGGGTTTAGGCAGGTTATTAAAGCCTGCTTCACGAGGGTCTTCTGGGCATATTTGCTACATCGTTTCCTATGAAAGATAATAAAACTAGGACATGCAACGGTCTCCGATAGCGCATGACGTATACTGTTAACTACTCAACCACCAAAAGGAAATTCCTCGAGTTTGTCTGATAAACACCACAGTTATCAGTGGCCTTGCAGTCGCACCTCAATGACGAAACATCTGATACATAGTTAGCTCACTCGAGACACTTTAGTCCCCATCGGAAGCACACAACCCACCTTTGAAGAGTGTCGATTTTCTGAACTTGACCATACACCAGATGTTGAGCCTGGTCTTTCTGCTGGAGAGTTTCACCAGGCAGTAGTGTTTGATGAGGTAGAACACATCTGCCATCGGCACCCCGGAGTTGTTGACCTCGGCGTCGACGGCGTACATGTAGCCGGCCTGGCTGGAGGGCAGCATGGTCTGCTCCTCGGTGACGGTGGTGGTCTTCCCCAGCGGGTGGTTCACGTCCAGCTGGAAGCGCACGCTGCGCACCTTGGTGCCGGCCTCCTCACCGTCCTGCCACTCACTCGACTGCACGTCTGTGGGGGGAGGGAGTCAGTGAGTTAGGGATCTGCCTGGAAGCGGTGGCCATGGGCACTAGCGGCTGCCGACTAGGACACATAGTACATACCAAGGGACTACCTGATTTAGTGGGAAGGGGCACAATGTCTAATTTCAGATCGAAAACGCACCAAATACATTAAACGTAACAATACAAATGTAACTTAGGGGAAGGGGCACAATGTCTAACTTCAGTTGACATAATGAATACATTCCTACCCCTTTCCCCACAGTAGTATCGCTCACTAACCGTAGTATTTCCTCTCACGCTGGAAGGCCTCGGAGAAGTCAGAGTGTGTGAAGAGCAGTGTGAACACCTGGTCCACGTGCAGCGGCAGCTCCAGGGAGGTGACGTGCCGGCCCACGTGCTGGCTGCCGTCACAGCCGAACGCCGCTGTACGGAGGAGAGACGGGTGTCAGACGCAGCGGCGGTGGGCTGGACTGGAGGTCCAGGTGTCCATGTGTGTGCAAATCTACAGCACAAATCTAAAGCAAAGTGGTCATGCCCTAGCGTCTGAGCTTGTGAGCTGAACAGGGCTCAGATTGTGATGCCTACGCGCTCGGCCCAGACCCCATTACGTAATTAGATTGATAAGGAATAGGCACGATAAGAAATATCACAACAGTCACATTTCAGGCGCCCGTGCTCGTAATTAAAACCGTACTCTGACCTACGACTGACAAGGCCACACCCATCTAGCGTGATACGGCACCGCACGAGTCACGGTCCGCGCGTCAGGGAGCCACTGAAGAGGTCGAGGTTGGGCTGTGGAGTGTGGGGTGTCGCGGCCGCCTACAGCTGATCAGGGGCGATACGGCAGACCGGCAGGCTACTGCTCACATGTTTGCTAAACTAAGACGGGCATAGGGGCAGTAGTGAGACGGGACAACCGTAAGTGATTCAACGAATTCCTCAGCCACTGAACAGACTAGCCGGTAGGATATTACGCCACCGAGTTACACCACCCCAACGTGACGTCACAATGACGTAATTAGCGTGTATCGGAGTCTGGAATGCGATACAGGTCTGCTCTGGAGATGAAACCGGGACTGACACAGCAGCTGGGAAGTGGGACAGAATCCCTAACGGCAAGGTCGGGCATAGTTAGATAACAGCTGAGACCGCGCGGATAGGAACCGAAACCCCAGCTGTTTGAGACCAAAGATGTTCAATATTACGCAGGTAGCTGAAGGGAAATGAATAAAATGATCAGCTATACAAGCCAATAAGAGATCCGGCTTTAGGGAGAGTCGAAATTTTGCGATGAAACGGAATCGCAAATGACGGAATTATATACCCAATCCAAAGGAAGCACTATAAACGCAAAAGGATCATCCGAAAAACCTGCATGCTTGAGCATAGTTATGCTCTTCTTGTACCTACACGACCCTGCTAGTCACCAGTGATAAGAGAATGTCGAGGACTAAAAAGGCTCTTCAGATGGAGCTAAGAGCTCTCCAATGAGAGACAAACGAGCACTCCAGAAATTCTCAGTACCGACATAAATGACACGCCACGTTCTTGAGAATTGCGGTCAGTTCCGACTCCCGGCTTATCTTTCAGGTATCACCGTGTCCAATAGAGGAGCGCTTACAAGCGAATGTCGATAGGTGACGAGAGAAAACGCCCCAGACGAGTCCGATAGCGCGCCAACACCTGTCTGACGGTGTGATAGACAGCCTGCCTTTTCTCGTGGGCTTTATATTACTGCTCGAGACAAAGCATGGGAGATGTGTAATCAAAGCAAAAGTTACGAGAAATTGGGAGTGACCGAGCCACGATACAAACAATTTAAAAATCAAATCCTTTCATATTCAGTTACATTAAGTCTGACAGAAGCGTGCTTTGTTCCAAGGTTCCTAAACGCAACAAAAATGCATTGCTTTATGGTCATACAAAATGTTGCACGATGAGCTCATAGCACTGGACCCAATACCATACAAATGAAGAAATTCAACGATACGTATCATGGCGGTGAAGGGCTCGACGCGGCCTTGCAGTTTTTGGTAGCGGAGCAGCGACCTTGTGTTTTAATATGAAGACGACCGATCCAATTATGGACAAGGTCGTATTACGCAGAATGCAGCATGTTCAGTGAAAGTGCCATGCTCACGCCCAGTGGCCCTGCCTGGTGCGTGACTGCTTACTCAATGGGGAGTGTTTTACCTGATGTGTCAATCAGACTACCTAAGTAGAGCAGTCAACAACACATTTCTTTACTGACAGCCTCCACGAGAGCGGAGATCAGGCATGGGCTTCAAGCATATCTTTTGAGCTATCTGGAGATCATTGTCGTGCCCGTAATCCGGATACAACGCATCTGATTGTGGATGTCAGCGAGCTAAGTGCACGATTTCCCAAGGAATTCACTTCAAAATCAGCTGGGCTGGCCCAGCGGTCTGGGAAACTTCTGCCTTGGAAACTGATTCTGAATGTAACCAAATCATTGTGCATCATTCACCAGAAGTAATGTGAGAAGTAAAGCAATGGCCAACCTACCAGCTTGGACTGGGTCGTCCTCGATATTCGTGACGACCCATAGTATTACGCTGGTATTCTGCTAGTGACAGGCTATTTTGTCTTATCTGGCTCGCCCTCGGTGGTATCAAGATACAATTTTACGTTTACTAAACTCGTACCTGGCTCGTCCTCTGCGTGTTACGGTAGAATTAGGTAGTGATACTACCTAGGTTAATTCAGTCCTTACCTGGTTCATCCTCGGTGGTGTCGGACTCGTCGTCATCGCGGCCGGGCGGCGAGCGCAGCGGGGCGGCCGTGGTGGGAGTGGTGGGTGCCGGGGGCACGTCACTGCCGGCCGCCGAGTCCGCCTCCAGCGGACCCGCGCCGTGGTAAAACTCCTGAGGAACAGACAGACAGACACAGTCAGTCGGCCTCCAGCGGACCCGCGCCGTGGTAAAACTCCTGAGGAACAAACAGACAGGCGGGACACAGGGTCAGGGCGCGGTCAAAGGGTCAGGGACTGAGGACAGGCCGTGATACACGATCCAGCGATACAGCACAGAGGGGTGTGCACTGTGCAGGGCGATACAAGCTGAAGTCGGCATCAACTCATGTTCAGCAGCATTGTAGTTAGCCACCGTGGCCGAGGCAGCCATTTGTTAGAGCTCTACACACAGGTATTGCAACTTGAAACAATCCACCTAGTCGGTCTCCCGACACAACACTACACTATGCATGATGCTTGTGTGGGCAATTCGCAGTCCTGTGATGGACGGTGGCACAATGGGCCATCGCCAGTCGCCACCATACCTCTCTCAGACCCCAACAGGCCCATCTCAGACATCACGCTCGACCAAGAGGTGCTGCAGCCACAGCCCCGCCGCAGCAGCCGCCCAGATACGGTCACGGTCGATCGCCAGTGACGGGCAAAGAGAAAACAGCACACGCCCTGTCACGGTGCTGATTGTAGACGGCCCAGACGCCGCCTGACGGCCCAGACGCCGACCTGCGCCGAGTGGCGACTCGTGCAGACCACGTATAGATCACGGTGACAGGCAGCGCACGCCCGGCCGCACTGTGTCACGACTCACGAACATGGAACAGATACTGCTGAACGGAGAGGAGTGGCCCTGACAGAGCCGTCAGCCGCCGAACGCAGCGGAAAATGCTGATCAGAATCGATGAGGCAGATTAATCAAATAAATTGGCAGGATTCATAGGTGATTGGATTTATGGGTTAATTTGCTATCCGTCTATCGGGGCTACATGCCACGAAAATGTTGCCAAAATGAATATTATAACCAGATCGGGCAGGTTAGGTCGAGTACGCATGAAACGCAATACCCTAGCTGTATGCTTTTGCATATGACCCCTCATCCGCAAGCATCGATTTCTGAAACAGTCGCCTGTAACGAGCCTAACAAGCACATCCGGTGCGTACCGGTTTCATCCAGCTGTCCACTGCACTGGCTAATTATCCAGCTCGGGGACTCAGCACCGACACACTATTCTCACAACCTCTCCCGTTCACCGGCCTCACTCCAACAACACACACAAAATCACGCACATAAACGCACCCGCACGCGCCGGCGGACGGCGGTGCGCGGCCGACTGAGCCGTCAAACCTCATCAGGCTCTCGCTGCGGACCGGCGACGGGCTGTGGCGTCACACACCGCCGCGCCGGTGGACCGGAGAGACCGGGCTAGCAGAGCCGGGCGCACAGAGACGCAGAACGCAGACGGTAGCGTATTCAGGCGGACTGCGGCCGTGTGTTCAGGGCAGGACCGGTCATCGGTCAGAGGGCGACGCCGCAAAGTGCAGCGTACTGCAGCGCCGGCAGAAATGCAGGCACAAACGCAGATTGTGGCGATATGGTTGCAGAGGAATGCGCTCGTTTATCTGGTGATAGGGGATCTGAGGGATTTGCAAAACGATGTTGTGAATGTATGAGAAAGGTCATTTTACTATAAATATTAGCGCAAATCGTACACAGTACAAAGATCATGTAGACTAGTGTGGAGTTCAACAGAATATTAGCACTAAATAAGCGGTAATCATACTTATTGTCATCATTAGAAGTGTCAAGTAGCCTCGGAAGCTGTCAGTCCTAAAACCAGATGTTTCCGCACGCTTATCTGACAAGCGCCTGGACCAGCCTATGAACCAGGCGATCTCGAAACACAAGATGTTTACGAAAGAGCTGTCACACAGCCGAAATACCTGAACGACATGGAGCATGTCCAGCAGACATACTCCGCCTGCGTCGTTCTCTACACGACCTCGAGATCCAGGTCGAAAACAACGTCCTTGTCTGAATCGTATAAACGACTGGCTCGTCGATGGATACCAGCAGCCCAGACAGACGCTGGAAGCGGGACCCTCCTCGGGCCCTTCAGAGGCTTCCGAGTCCCGAGTCTGCACTATTCTCTGCACGTCGGCCGAGGAGAGAAACAGGGGAGCCCGCAAAACTGCCGGAGCGCATCTATATTTAACCGGGGCCGTGCGACTCGCTGATGGAGTGGCTTCTCTACCCCTTGGGGCAGAGACACAGCCACAGAGCGCAGACGGAAATCAAACTGGTTTAGTACGACGCATCACGAAGGGGAGTCGAGGACAATGGATGATGATACAGACAACACACGGAAAATCACGACCGTGCCCGTCACACAAGGTCGCCAGGCCAGCTCAGTGAAGACGAGTAACTAACGGGGTTTCCCCCTGCTCTGGTGAATACAATTGACGACTCAGTTTTGGCCCGGCTACTTGGGTATTGTTTGATAGGGTCACTTGTCCGTGCACTGGAACAGAAGCCGCAAACAATGGTTGAACTCGTCCAAACTGGCCTCCAGAAGTTGGTGTCTCAACCCACGTCGCAACATTTTTCAACAAGCAGTCAATAAACTCGGATTAGTCTCTCCGGAAAATTTCCGAGAGCGCAAAGATCGGAGGGAGATTCGGCGGAAAACGTGACCACATCCGGTAAACTTAGGTTACAGGCCGCTGTCCCAACAAACCTCTGTTCGACCGCGCAACGAAAAACAGAAGCCGCCTAGAGTGAGCACTGGAGAAAGAAAACCGAAAGGAGGCACATGCAGGCACCTTCGTCTACACAAAAGACGCAACTGACCATCTACAGCGAATAAATGCAAGCACATCCTTTTACAAACTGCTGTTCAAGATAAATATGTGCAGTTAAACAAACGCTCTTCAATTCCACCTAAAAACCATCGGGAGGCGGAGGACGGCGGTGGGTCGACTCCAACTGGGTCAGAGCGCCTTCCCAGCGCCAGTGACAGAGGCAACAGGTAAGCTCTGCCGCAGACGCGATCAGCTTTCGTTTTCAAAAACAGGCCACCACGCCACCGCCTCGAGCGACAGAGGACGAGCCAGGCCAGGCTGGATGGGACGACGGCGAATCTTAGGATCTTGGGGGGGGGGGGAGAGGGATACGGCTAGCATACGGAGAGGGCGGTATTATTAGATATAATATATGGCTTGTTTAAAATAATATGCGGTCTACTCCGTCCTACGTAATATCAGATGCCGCAGATAACTGGCGAAGGCATGCACCGCCAACGGTTTTCCGTCCACCTAGCGCCGGTGACAGCTCAGCGGTGACAGTGCTGTGACAGCCAGCAGCGAGCGACAGTCCAGTCGGTGACAGCGAGCAGCGACACCCAGCTCTGACAGTCCAGCGCGGTGACAGTCCAGCGCCGTTGACAGCCATTACCGACCGAGGAACAGACCGATGGAACGTGACCGGCGTGGGTGCGGCCGTGGCATGCCATACGCAACCAGGCGACCGGGCCATACGCGACCGGGCCGGCCTGCCGTTCTATAAACACAGACCGGCCTCGGTTTCTGGTCAGTACTGAACAGCCGCTGCCGGGAGCGCCGCTCCGGGCAGCGGACACCGAACAGCTCATCGGCTCATGGAAATCAGCGCGCCCGGCTCGGCCGGACTGTCCAAATCAGGAGACCCGTGCGGATAGGAAGACGGCCAGTATGTGAAAGCGCCACGAGGAAAACGGAGGCGACTGCGCCTGGCACCGCCGGGTAGCGGTAAACTGAGGAGTAAAAACACGGATCGCGCCCAGGACAGTACTGGGAAGGTAGCTGCTCCCAGGCCACAATACGATGCGCTGGACGCGCCCCGCTTTGTGAAGGACGTGTGGTCATGTTAAGTGGCAGAGGAAGAAGCACCACACGCAACCATGAGTTCATGAGGAAAGTGAGCGATACGCAGCCATGAGCCAGGAAGGAAGGTGCATGACACGCAACCATGAACTCAGGTCAGGGTCGTGATTCAATGGTTTACAGTTCTGCGAGATTTTTTTAAAGTTGTTGAAACCATTTAATTTACTTCATATTACTGATGCATCTGTAGCGCATGACTATGGACATTGGGCAATGGATATTAACTCAAATCGACCAAAAGTCAGAACAAAGAATATTCATCCTGATGTAAACTTCTCAAATAACACCAAATTATCTAGATATCTGTCATTTTCAGATCAAGAGCTCCAAACCAGCATAAGACATGACAACCGCGGCAACTGAAAGACACGATGGTGAAGAAGTGCCGAAGAACAAAAACTCGCTGTTTTTCGTTTCTCTCTAATCAAAAATGAGACAGGCCAGACGTCAGACTCTCCCGAGAATACATCAAACAATCCAACAAATAAGACCTAAGAGGGCAAACAAATCATCTGCTAAGGAGGATGCCGACAATAGCCATCTCAAAATGTCTATTGTAGGCATCGTGGCCACTGATCAGCCATTTACTGACCTGCGTCACGTCATAAAACCAACGAACGGGAGCGGGCACGGGATGCCGGTGGCTGAGAGTGGACCACGGTCAAAGAACGAACTCGGAGGGCGGGGTAGCTCGAGAATGGGAAGCTCAGCAGCCACTAAAGCCGTGTTGACATTTGTGGGTTGAGATGGGTGTGGGCTGATAGAGCCAGAGGATAACGGAACGGAAACCTACATAGGATCACATATGCGAGTGGTTTGGTCAAGACCACCCTCACTAACGCACAGTTTATCGGGTCTGTTGTGTGGGTTTTGAAACATAAAAACATGAATACAAAAAGAAATGGAATGAAACGAATAACTCCATCCAATCACCCCTATCGGTTCGCTGGTCATCCCTATCGTCATCATCCCTATCGCCATCTCAACACAAGCAATATGGCGAGTGTCTGACACTGGCACCGGCTGAAGTGACACCAGTAGTCACCGAGCTGTGAATGTCAGAGCCCGAGCTGAAGCCCTTCCGGAGGGCTGACAGTCCCGGAGGGGTCCGAGCGCCGCCGGACGGATTGGGATTTGACCGCCGCCGGCGCCAGGCTGACCGCCGCCTGATCCCACTCCTGACAGCAGTCGGCAGCGAGG